ATCGGGGGCGGCTCTGTTTCAAACTATGGCTCTCGCGTCAACGCCATGCGCATTCGTCAAACCAGCTAGAATACGTCAACGGATCCCCATGGCTAGCGTACAAGAGACGGCGGTTTGGAAGGGTTCAGGATAGCTAGGGCGCAACAATTACGTTGATTCGCGGTGGTGGAGTCCCAGAAACGGTGTTCTTGCACGGTCCAGGACCGTCACAACGCAACAATCGGTTGATTCGTGGCGTTGGGGTCCCGAGAACGGTGCTTTGGCACGTTCAGGGTCTTCAAACAGTTGTCCCTGAACGGGGCAGTTCCCTCAAAGGCAATGAACCTTTGTAGGGGCCTATGGCGAGTGGGCTTGGAGGGAGGGCGTTTTTCAACATCATTGCTGGGTCTTGGGTTTACACTTGTCCTTATCCTCATCCTTGGTCTCAGTCCCCCCCCCGACCCCTCTCATCACCCTCTTCGTCCTCCTGCGCCCCCCCCGTCTGACGACGGCAACCATGTTCTCGGGAAACTCTCTGGTAACACGATAATTTGGGCAATGCTGAGGCCCTCTTGGATGCCTCTTGACCCGTCTTTGAGCGCCCTCGGAAGGCCAAGACGGCCCAAGAGGCCACTCAGACCAACCCAGGACTGCCCAAAGGACCCCTAAGCGGGCACGGAGACAGCCCAAGAGGGCCGCAAGAAGGCCCAACATGCCTCCAACGCTAGCCAAACATGCCTTGAACAGGGCCCCTGCAAGTGCTCAAGAGAGGGCCAAGAGGGCGAACCCGCAAGGAGCCTGAGAGCCCTCCCCCGCCAGGAGCCAGGAGGTCCCCAGATGGCTCCATAAGGCTCCAGAGTCCTGAAAAGGCTCCAAGAGGCCGCCCCCTGGGCCTTCAAGAGGCCCCCACTAAGCTCAGCAACAGACGCGGAGGACGAGAACGAACCAGCAGCAATTGCACGCAAGCAGCGCGGCGAGACGTGGCACACACCACATACAACCTGGGCGGCGCCCATCTCCTCTTCTGGGGCTCGGCGAAATCGCGCAAGCCTCTCGAGTAGGATAGGGAGCTATGGTAAGTAGAGGGGGGACCTCGCGTATCCGCATCGGTTCTCCTCGCGTCAGCGCCCCCATAGCTCCTGGGGCCTCAGAGTAGCTTTCAGGCCATGATGGCCTCAAGATGGCCTTAAGACGGCGCACGATGGCCCCGAGAGGGCCATCAATTGCCTCAAGACGGCTGAAGAGGCCTCCAATACTTCTGACGACGTTTCCAACATACGGCCGAAGACGGCCAACACGGCCCAAGAAGCTCCACAATGATTTAATGATTGTTCATTGGCATTCGAAGGTGTGTGGCGTTCTCGCCCATTCCCTATTGGGCGTCTGGCCGCCCAAGACGGCTCAAGGCAGCCCAGACATGTCCCCAACGCAACCAAAGAGACCTTTAACACGTCCCTGCAACGAGGGCCCCAATACGGCCTGGAGATGCCCCCAAACGTCATCCGAAGGCGTCGGACGCCCTGAGAAGGCCTCGTAGAGAGCTCCAGGAGGTCTGAAGACACCTCAGAGAAGCCCGCAAGAGACCAAGAGGCCACCGAGAATTCCACTGACGGCGCCCAGGATGCCCCAAGAGTGCCCCAAGATACCACCAAGAGGCCGCCCTCTTTTCCTTGTCATTCCTCTCCTTCTCCTCTCCTCCTCCTCCTATTCCTCGTCCTCCTCCTCCTCCTCCTGTTCCTGCTCCTCTTCCTCCTTCCCCTCTTCATCCACTTAACTGGCCCACGGCATGCCAAAGGCCACACTTGCTGACCAATTCCCCACAAGGGGCCTCGCCGGGGCCAACTGCGACGTTGGAAGACATGCGACGTGGGACATGTGACGAATGATTCGTGCTGCTGGCATCAACAGTTCTACAAAGTGCAGTGGAAAACGCAACAGACCTCTGGGTAACAGAAACCTATCAACCGGTGCACACGTTGACCTCCACCATGTCACATTCGGACTTGCAGCGTCTTCTGTGATAATGGCATAGAAATGTTTCGAATCAGATCTGAAGCCCTAATAATGTTTAAATTTACTGAGTCGTAAGCGACATGCTCCGCTACCCATGTTCCTGGTCAAACCGCCAAACAACCTGCATCGATTCGAAAAAGCCACCAGTCCTCTCCCCCAGGTGACGGAAGGAAGAGATGGAGGGAGGGGGAGGAGCACGTGGGGACGGACGGGTGCGGGAGGCCAAGAACAGGCATGAGAGGGGAGGCGAGGGAGGGGAGTGGAAGCGGAAATGAAAGAACCGACGAGGGGGTTTGTGTTGAGGAAGGGTGGGTGGAGACGCTAAGCCGATGCACTGCTGGCCCATGGGCATCTGACCGGCAGGAACGCACACTGGCTGCTGGCCCATGGAGCTCGCCCCCTTGGTGCCGGACGGGTGGAGGGCGGATTGACTGGAAACAATGTGGGGAAGGAGGCAGCGGGGAGAGAGAGAAGAAGCAGCAAGATGAGGAGGAGAACGAGGTCTACGAGAAGCAGGATGAGGGAGATGGGATGTTGGCGGTGGGGCAGGAAGGATGGGGGAAGGAGGGATGTGGAAGGAAAGCAATAGGGGGCGGAAGGAGGTTGAGCGAAGAGGAAGAAAGCGAAGCAAGAGGGGGAAGACGGGAAGATGATGAATACTCCCCGAACTGTGTTTGCACTCAGGGCTTCTCACAATGCGGCATCAACAACATCACATTTTAACAACACGGCTATCAAGAGGACGCATCATCCCAACAGCCTTGTAAGCACAGGCTGTTTTAACACGTTGCTCATTCAACCTTCCTGAGGCGGCCTTATCACTGGATACTTTTCCACTCGGCCAGCCACCGACCAGGAACCATGAGGCCCCCCCATCCATCGCAAATAACATCACGAAGTGCACGTGCTGGCAATCTGAAGATCATCAGCGGGCACCCTGCGATCACCTTGCATTAACTTTGATTGTGTTTGTCGCTGCGCGCTCGCCCAGCATCAGTACCAACAGCCATTGATAAGTGATTGCGGGTTCACGTCGCACGCAGTGCATAATGCTGACCATTCCGCCGCTGTCTTGCGCTGGCTCTTGACAAGGATGGGCGGGGTGTCGGCATATTTCCCCATGCGTGCTGTCAGGAGCGTTGGCGCACCTGTAATCGCCTAGCGCACTCCAGGCGCGACGCGCACGTGGCGCACGTCGAGCACGTGGCACACTTGGCGCACTAGGGGTGCTTGCCACGCTTGGGCCCCAGACACCCTGGCGCAATTGGCGCACCTCGTGGCACCTGTCATCCGACACGTTCAAGAGGGGGCGGCTTGTCTGTCAAGCCCGAGGACCGAGGGCAGCCCCATTGCGAATGCCAGCTTCCCCAGGCACGGGTTGCAGGGGATCGACGACAGCGGGCCGTTCTGGGGTAGCCCTGTGCGCCCCACTGGTGGTCGCGAAGATCTTGGAAACGTGGTCGTCGAGCTTGGGCTGGCTCTGCTGGTCCTCGTAGAGAGCGTCGATCAGCATGATAACGTTCTCCGCGACTCCGATTTGTCCGAGGGTGGAAGGCCGAGGCGATGTCGCACGCGATGCGGACAGGGTGGCAGCCGAGAGCGCTCTCGCCACCATGGCCGGCTGCCAGATGTTGCCCCTAAGGTTGCGACGATGGAAGAAGCCCTGATGGATGCGACTGCACTTGGCCTCCGCAGTCGGTTTCAAGTGCGCGCTCGCCAGCAGCCCCGCGAGCTTCCGATCGCAACTGAGCAGTGCCAACGGCCGTGTCTTCTCTCAAGCTGGCGGATGATATCCGACTCAGCGCGCTCCTCGGCCCTATTCGCGGTGAAAGCCATCAAGGCGTGGTTGGAGGTCCGAGGTGCGGGAGGGCCTCCGAGCATCTCCCGCAAGAGGAAGACGAGCGCCTTCGGCGCCGCTGCCCGGGCCCTGCAGGGCAGGACGTCTGGCCCGGGCGCAGACGGACGCGCTGCCCGCAGGTCAGCCTCGTCGAATGAGAGGTCGGAGGGGGGCTCCTGCGTCGGCTGCCAGGTGGTGATGAAATCATCCATCGCCCTCTGACCGACCTCTTGGCCAGTGGTCCGCCAGGGTTTGCGCCATCGCAGGAGCACCCCGAACAACCTGTACAGCCAGGCTGGACCAGTTGTTCGGGGTGGAGCCGACGGCGAGGCTGGACCAGCCTCACCGTCGGCTCCGCCGCCTCCTGGAAGACGTGCTCGGTCGGCCGAGGCGGCGCGTTGATGGCGGCGCGCGACTGCCCCGCGTTGAAGCTCGCGTCGGACGCCAGCGTCATGATCGGAATCCAGAAGTGGGCCCGGGTGTGGACCAAGTGACTGTTGCCCTTTCGACGTCTGCATGATTGGGGTCTCTGTGTGACCGCGCAAACTGCGGGCACCTCCTCGGCAGCGCAAGCTGCGGGAACCTCCGCGGCCGCCCCATCGGCCGCGCAAATTGCGGGAACCTCCGCGCCCGCGCAAGCTGTGGGCACCTCATCCGCGGCGGCGCAAGCTGTGAGGACCGCCACGGCTCGGTCCTCACCTGTCGCACGCGCGCCGGATCCGAAATGCAAGCGCGGGGCTGAACCCGTGCCCGCGCCAGCCGAAGCTGTCGGTGCTCTCCTCGCAATTCGCCCAAGAGCAGAGCGCGAAATCGTTGCAGAGGTTGCCCGTCCTGCCGAGGACGTACCAGGACTGCATCTCTGCGCAATGCGAAATATTACACTTCGCCCCCAAGCAAGGGCCCTCCGGCGGGACACCCGACCTTGTAGACTTGCAGAGACGGCGGGCAAGCGCAAGGATGTGAAAGCACGCGTAGCTGGCGAGGGTCGGGCCTAGGAAGACGAAGAGTAATTTTGGGATGCCAGCAACCCTGTGGCCTCCGCGCTGGCGCAAGCTGCGCGAGCCCCATCGTCAACGCAAACTGCGGGGGCCGCGTCGCCGACGCAAGCTGCGGGAAGCTGATCGTCGACTTCCGCTGTAAGGAGGTCGGCAGCGACGCAAGCGGTGGGAACCTCGGCGCCGACGCAAGCTGCGGGACACGTCGTCGACGCCAACCGCTGGAGCCCCCTCCGGATCGCTGCTGGGGACGCCGCTGCTCGACTCCGTCGAGTCGCTGCTGGAGGCGGGTCTTGACCCGCCAGATGTGCTGGCCGTCTCATCCTCCCGCGAGGCGCACCTGAGCCCATCCAGTGCCAGTGAGGCGCGCTCGGGCAGCCACGGGCGCGTCTTCGCAATGAGCTCCTGTTGTCTCAGACCAGCGGCCTCTCCAGCGGCTTGGCAACCGGGCGAGCGCGCTGCTCTAGCGAACTCCTGCGCCACGTCCCGACCTTCGCCCGTCATCTTGCCAGTCGCCGCGCGCGCAGCCTTGGCGAACTCGTTGACGTTGATAGGCGCCACTCCACCATGTCCCGCGCGAGAGCCAGCAGCCGCTGCGCGACCGTGGAGTCCGCTGCCAGCGCGCGTGCAGCGCGGGCGTCCTGTCCCCAGATCGCCCTCGCAGCCGACCTGAGGGCAAAAGCGTCGATCTCAGCCTGCGTCTTGGCGTCGAGAATGTTCGAGGTGGTGACCGTCTGGATGCGCCTTTCGCGCAGCCTCTCGCGCGATGGTCTTGACCTCCTAGAGCGCCTCGCCAGAGCCCGTCGCGAGCAGCCCTGTTTCGCGCGGGTTCAGCAGCTGGCGGAAATAGTCGAGGTACATGTTGTGGCCGAAGATTAAGCAGGCATCGGGCGTTCGCCCGCGAGTGGCGACGAACGGAGCCGCGTCGTCAGGCCGACCAGCGCGCGATCGCTGAGTCCGCCTGGGGCCAGCGTGGCAGGATCGCGGTCGACCATGACGGAGACGCGCGCGCTGGCGAGGTTGTAGCTCGGGAAGCTTAGGAAGCACCCGACCTGCCCAGCTGTAGACTCTGAGCGTTTGCCATGCCCAGCAAGGCAGGGGCATTCGTTTTCCACCGCGTCGTCAAGGAGCTGGCACCATAACGCTCGCGCCTGGCGGTCGCGGATCTGCGAGCACAGCTCCTGCAATTCAGGATTGAAGTAGGAGCGCTGGTCTTGCACCCCGCTGTTGTAGCAGCCCACGGCGACGCAGGCATGCCTGAGCTGAGCGCCCCAAGCGCGCAGCATCTTCGAGTTCCACAGGTCTGCAGCGCGTCTCCTGTCGGCGCTCGACAGCTCGAAGAAGTACACATCGAGGAAGGTGGCGGCGATCCTCCCCGCGCCCCGCGGGGCGGGGCTCAAAAGAGCATCGCGCCCGACGCGCTCAGGAAGAAAGGGTCGCGAGCGGACTGTAAGTGCAGCAATGCGCCCTGCAAGTGCTTCGTTGAGACTGAAGGTGGGCCGCCAATATCGATGGGCGGCTACACAGCGCGGGCGGTCAAGATCCAGGACAAAGAAGGCCACGCCGCCTGCGCTGCCACCATGAAGCGAATGATGCGCCGTGCGCGAATATGGAGTACAATTGAGGAACACCTGCAACTCCGCAAGGGAGGAACGGTAATCCTGGAGCATAATGGGATCGCCCTGCGGTGCGCTACGATCAGCAACTGCTTCCGATGTCTTCTGCGCTTCCTGGTGCGCGCGAAGCTGCGGGCGTTCCAACAAATCATGCGAAGCGCGGCTATCCGCCGCCGGGGGCTTTCCACGGTGCACGAGCAGAGCGTGCGTTGCTGACGCAACCCGGTCTTGCGCATGGGCGGCCCCCTCTCCCCCAGTGATCTCAATCGGGTTCCGCACCTCCTCGTTCGTGGAGCTAGCTAAGTGCAGGATGCTTACGAACGGCTTGGCGCCCAGCCGCATAGACGGCTGCAGAAACTCCTTCGCCTTCATATCATCCATGACGAGCTGCCAGCGCTGACAGAACACAATGGACCGATACCTGGTGTGTCTGTAGGGGCTGGTCCCACCCAGCACGAAAGGGAATTGTTGTGGCGTTGTGGCGTTGCTTGGTTGGGTCCATGGTAGGAAGGACGGGTCGGCTCTTGTAGCAGTGTGACAAAACTGGGCGTCCTCCTCCTCCTCCCCCTCCTCTTCGACATTGGTATTGAAACTGCGCGTGAAGTGTTGCACCTGGCATTTGCACTTGCCGGCGTACTCCTGGGCCACGTTCGTCTTCGTAGCCGAGACGAGATGTTTGGAGGTCGCAGGCCAACGCTTCCTGGAGAAACCGCGGGTCCAGATCTCCTGCTCATTGCACACGTCGAGCAGATCAGGTGGTCCGCAAGCGAGAGAGGGGCCGCCAATATCTCCTTGTCGCATGCCGCAGAGGTAGTCATGCCAATGATCTTCGCGCCTCGATGTCAAAGAGGGCGAGTTCCCTGCCGAAGCCCCAGAAGCAGATGCGGACTCAAGGACACGACCCTGGCCGCCAGCTCAACACTAGCATTCTGGACCTGACGTCGTGGAGGTGTGTTTCCGCCGTGCTGGTCCTCCATCATCTCCTGATCGTCCTGTTTTTGTTGATCTGTTTCGCATCAGTCCGCGCCCCCGCCGCGGGACGAGACCAGGAACGCGGGGCGCCCTCACCGGCGCTGCCCCACGCGACTAGGGCAGGCAGGGGAGAAGAGGAATGAGCAAGGAGGAAAGAGCGCGGAGAGGGTGGCGAAGCGGGCGAAGCGCAATTCCTCCATGGAGTCAGTCCTCCAAGGAACGCTCCATATCCAGCACGTTGCAAGTTCAGCTTTGACCTCTGCGAAAAGCTTATCATGCTCGGGCAAATCGGTCGAGATGCGCTCGTCCATTCGCTTGTTTCAGGCAAATTCAGAACGCTCTGCGCCTGCAGCTTCATGGTTTCCTCGAGCAGAAACTACATGGCGTTCGCGCCAAGCGCCATCTCGGAACAGAGGAACAGTTATATAGGAGAGAGTGTGATCCACCGCCGCTTTACTGTGGAAAATTGCCGCCCTTTTCCTCCGGAACCCGGGGGTCCCCCCCCCTTCCCCCCCTCCGAAAATCTCCTCCCCCCCTGCTGGAACCCCTCCCCCCCCCCCTCCCCCCCCCTCGAAAACCGGAGGGGTCGGTTCGAACCCCTCCCCCCCTCTCACCGCCAGCAAACGACTCCCGGTCCCTACCACCGTCCTCACCACATCCCCCACTGTTGTTCCCAGCACCACTGTCCTCACCACCACTGTCCCCACTGGTTCCACCACCGCCCCTACTGTCCCCACCAGTGCCACCACCACTGTCGCACTGTCCCCACTGTCCCCACCACTGTTCCCACCACGGCTCCACTCTCCCAACTTTCTCCACGGCCCCAACCACTGCCCGACTATCCCCACTGTCCCCACTGTCCCACTGACTCCTCCGCTGTCCCACTGAGCTGTCCCACTGTTCCCACCACTGTCCCCACTGTCCCCACCACTGTCCCCACTGTACCTCTGTCCCATTGTCCCACCGCCGTCCTCGCCACCGCCTTCACCACTGTCCCCACCACCACTGTACCCTCCACTGTCCTACTGTTTCCACCACATTCCCACTGTCCCCACACCACTGTCCCCACCACCACCGTCCCCACCACTGTCCCACTGTCCCCACTGTTCCCACCATTGTCCTCACCATTGTCCCCACCACTACCGTCCCCACCACTGTCCCACTGTCCCCACCACTGTCCCACTGTCCCCACTGTTCCCACCATTGTCCTCACCATTGTCCCCACCACTACCGTCCCCACCACTGTCCCACTGTCCCCACCACTGTCCCGCTGTCCCCTCACCACTGTCCCCACCACCACCGTCCCCACCACTGTCCGCACCCCCCCTCGGTTTTCGAGGGGGGGGGGGGGTTCGAACCGGTAGTGACCCCCCCCCCTTTTCATGATGAACTGGGGGGGGGGGGGGAGGGGTTCGAACCGGTAGTGACCCCCCCCGGTTTTCCGGAGGGGGTTTTCCGGTTTTCCGGGGGGGGGGGAGGGGAGGGGTTCGAACCGGTAGTGACCCCCCCCGGTTTTCCGCCAGCAGCGGTAGAACACGCTCTTCCTTATATAGCGATCTCGGGGCCGAGGAACAACTATATAGCGAGCTTCTGCTGAACTTGCGGCCGTCGGGCGACTCACCACAGGGACCGAGGGACGTTGGAACAGTTTGCGGGGACAGGCGCCTTAGAGCTAGTCTTTGCGACTGCGACCGAATTCAAGCCGCCGATGCCCCGCGGCTTTAGCTTGAACCATGATGAGGAGGAGTGCGATGATAGGAAGAGGGGAGGAGATAGGGGATGAGGCTGTAGAGGGAAAGGGGGGAAAGGAAGACGAGATGGAGGAGGGCGACGACGGGGAGGAGGAAATCAGATCGAGATGGTCATAACGAGGAAGGGTGGGTGGGGGGGGGGAAAGGGGAGGACAATGAGGAGAGAGGGGGGAGTTGGGGGCTTTCCCCCCTCGTGTTTTTTGTTGTTGTTTTCCTCCCTCGGGGGTGTGTCTTTATTGTTTCCCTCGGAATCTATTTTTTTGTTCCCTCGGAGTTTTTTTGTTTTCCTCCGGGTCTTTGTTTGTTTCCCTCGGGTATTTGTTTTTCCCCTCGGGCGGGCGGGGGGGGGCAGGGGGGGGCCCTGGGGGGGGGATGGGCCTCGAGGCTTTTTGCCCCTCTCCAGGGGGGGCTCGGGAAGGGCGAACCAGGGAGGCCTGGCGGGCGCTCCAGCTCGGGAAGGGCCCACTGGGGCTCCAATTTGCTGGCCCAACGGACGGACAAGCAGCATGCGAAGATGATCTCTGTTAATAGGCTTGAATATTTCTAATTCGCGCGCGCGTGGCGGCCCCTGGGTAAAGCCTCAAAAACGTAAATGCAATGGATTCGCTTCCGGCGCACTCCGTGTTGCGGGCGTTGTTGCAAGTAAGCCGACTCCGAGCAAGCCAGCTCGCGACAATTTGACGACCATCGCAAATGCAAACGAACATCACAGATGAAGTGCACGATAATCGCATATCAACGAAAATATGACGTCGAGGACAATCGATTGAAACATAAGCATTATCGACCAACGAACTCGGAAAGGGATGGAAACGTGGAGCAGGGAAACGTTGCAAGATACCAAGCTTGGGCGACGGGCAATTACACATCCCCTTCGCGGGAGTATGTGCGATGAGCCCGACGACCTCATGCTAGAGATCCGCCTGGGCGACCAGTACACGTGGCACCAAGCGTTTCGCTCGATACATTCTCAACAAATCCTCATGTTAGAGATCTGCCGTCCTTGGCGCCAGAATCCTGACCGAACTGATTTGGATCTTAAGCTCGAGCTGCCTGAACGAATAGTTCGGGCTAGTTGCAATCGAAACGCGCGGGGCGCGCGATCAGCTCGAACCCAAGATCCGATTCAGTTCCGACTCCCTCGCTCGAGACATCCTCACAATTTGCTCAGGCATAGAGCCACAACACATGTTGGATATCCCCCTGTGTGGCCTGGACGCGTGAACACGCGCCAAATGCAAACACACAACGCATGTTACATCCCCCTCCGCGCAAATAAAAACAAGCGTTTCGCTAGAGACACCCTGAACACTTCTTGCTGAAAGAATGTTTCGCTAGGGACACGTGAAAACAAGCCTTTCGCCAGAGACGTCCTCAATACATCCTCATCTTATCGACCCGCCTGGGCGGTCTGGACATGTGAAAACAAGCGTTTCGCCAAAGAGATCCTGAACACACCTCCATGTTGGAGATCCACATGGTTGACCAGGACAAGTGAAACCAAGCGTCCCCCTAAAGACATCCTCAACACATCCTCATGTTAGACATCCGCCTGGGAGACTTGGACACGCGAAAACGTTTGACACGTAAACGCACGTGGTTCAACTCGGGACAGTCATGTTAGATAGCCCCCTGTGTGGCCTGGACGCGTGAAAACGCGTGGTTTGAGCTCGTAACCGCCATGCTAGATACCCTGCTGTGTGGGACGTGGTTCCAGTTCGGGACCGCCATGTTAGATACCCCTGGGCGGCGTGGGCACATGAAAACACGTGGTTCCAGCTCGGGCCCGCTATGCTAGATACCCTCTCTGTGTGCTCTGGACACGTGAAAAACTTGTTCCAGCTAAGGGCAACAATGTTAGATACTCCGCTGGGCGGCCCAGACACGTAAACACACATGGCTCCAGCTCGGGAATTCCATGTTCGATACCCCCGTGGGTGGCCCGGACACGTGAAAATAAGACACGTAAAAACAAGTGCCTGCCTAGGGACATCTCCAACACATCCTTATGTCAGACATCCGCCTGGGAGAC